TTTTTATAAAGCGGCAAGATATACGACTCCTTCCACAAAGAGGGGAAAACTCCTTGCTTTAGAGAAGCATTGAAGATGTTTGTTATACCATGTTCTGACCGACAACGAAAACACTTGAAAAAGAGTTTTGGAATTGTGGGCTGAGGGCTGTTCACACCGGCTGTTAGTGTTTTCGTTGACATTTCTTACATCCTCGTATTGCAGTTTTGCTACACAAAAACAAAACCAAAATGCTTTTCCCACATTTTCTTTTCATTAGCAACCTCTTACTTTCATTCTTATTTTACATTGGCCAGCCAATTAACAATAAATACGAAATAGCGTATTAAAGATGATAAAATATGACTTCCACTTCGATAAATAATCGAAAAAAAACTAGTGAAGACACCGAATGGAACGAGTGGAACGTGAGTTTTCAAGTAGTTTTCAGCGAAAACTGGTTTTCGTTTGACAGATTTTACATAGACGAAAACACAAGTTTTAGGTCGAAAACCAGTTTTAGCAACGAAAATATGTTTTCGATGTCGGTCAGAACATGGTATTAATGGCTTATATAGATAATCAGCGCAACTTATTAGGACACCGGAGGGCATACCATCCGGACCGCTTAGAAAAGAATTTTTTAAACCATTCAAATGAAGGAGAACATTGTCAGCTGAGATTGAAGGAATACGGATGTGGTCAAACTGTGGGAGTGGAAAAGGATGGCTAGAAGTTTTTTCATTTGGCTCGACAGAATAGTTCGATTCAAAATAATTTGCAAACATATCAGCAAATAATATCATCACTAGAAATAACATCATCTGATTTCAGTGTTGAGGGAAACCCATTTATTTTACGTTTTGAGTTAACAAAATGATAAAATGACTTGGGATTAGAAACGATGTTAATGCGAATTTTATTAATGTAATTGCTGTAACATTTTCTGTTTAAGGTATTGTATTTATGACGAAGGATGGAGTACGCGGCGTAGTGAGAAGACAGGCCTGATTTTTTATAAAGTTTAAATGATTTAGTTTTTTGATTTTTTAAATGCTTTAGCTCTGAGTTAAACCACAACGAGTTACTAGGTACGGTATTTTCTTTAACAAGAGGAATGAGTTTACTGAATATATTATTCAAGATTTTACTAAGGTGTAAGGCACTGTTCTCAACATCCCCTCGTACTCAGGCCAGATTATTCCAGATATAGCTATTTTAAGCTTGTTGTAGTTAGCGTATTTGAAAGAATATCGCCGACCTTTCGGCTTTCTAGTTTCAGGACAATAACATGAATCGTAGGATGGTGCCAAGGACAACTCAAGTGGTGGGTGATAAGGGTCTATAGGTATAACTAAAGGATCGCCGAGTATTATAGTGCATTTGTCAGTATCATCAATAAACGCTAAATCAAGACATTTACCCAAGTTGTTGATAACTGAATTAATCTGATATAGACCAAGATCGGAAAGTTCGTTAAGAAATTGGTTAAGTACATCCCGAGAAGAATTTGGCACCAGAATTCCATCCACCGAATTCCAGGAAACACGCGCTAGATTTAAATCACCACACAACTATCGAATCGGAGGTTTTGACCATGGCAAATAAAGAGAGCAATAATGTAGAATGTTTAAAGTAAACCGAAGGGTTAGAGTTTGGTGGAATATAAATTGCAACAAGAAAAACACTACTTGAGGGGCACCGTATTCTAACACAGAGTAATTCAACATCATCTGAACCAGTGAACTCAACTTTTTCAGAAGAAAAGTCAGTCTGAACAGCTATTAAAACACCCCCGCCTTTTCTATCTAAGCGATCATTTCTAAATATTTCATACTTACTACACAATATTTCACTATTAAACACATTCGGTTTTAGCGAAGTTTCAGTAAAAACCAAAATTTCCTAATTTGAATCAAAAGACTTTAAGTACAGCTCGGTTAATTTTGTATTTAGACCTCTAACATTATGGTAATAAATATTGAAGAAAAAACTACTTATAAGTTTTTTGATCCTGAGGAGGGAGTTTGAACAGTATTTTCATTCCGAGCTCGAGGTTTAAACTCAAACTCTCGAACTAAAGCACCATTGGGCCAGAATGAACCATCAACAATGTTTTGAAAATGGTCGGGGGAAATATCAATTTTGAAGGAAGATATGCTCNTAAATCAAGACATTTACCTAAGTTGTTGATAACTGAATTAATCTGATATAGACCAAGATCGGAAAGTTCGTTAAGAAATTGGTTAAGTACATCCCGAGAAGAATTTGGCACCAGAATTCCATCCACCGAATTCCAGGAAACACGCGCTAGATTTAAATCACCACACAACTATCGAATCGGAGGTTTTGACCATGGCAAATAAAGAGAGCAATAATGTAGAATGTTTAAAGTAAACCGAAGGGTTAGAGTTTGGTGGAATATAAATTGCAACAAGAAAAACACTACTTGAGGGGCACCGTATTCTAACACAGAGTAATTCAACATCATCTGAACCAGTGAACTCAACTTTTTCAGAAGAAAAGTCAGTCTGAACAGCTATTAAAACACCCCCGCCTTTTCTATCTAAGCGATCATTTCTAAATATTTCATACTTACTACACAATATTTCACTATTAAACACATTCGGTTTTAGCGAAGTTTCAGTAAAAACCAAAATTTCCTAATTTGAATCAAAAGACTTTAAGTACAGCTCGGTTAATTTTGTATTTAGACCTCTAACATTATGGTAATAAATATTGAAGAAAAAACTACTTATAAGTTTTTTGATCCTGAGGAGGGAGTTTGAACAGTATTTTCATTCCGAGCTCGAGGTTTAAACTCAAACTCTCGAACTAAAGCACCATTGGGCCAGAATGAACCATCAACAATGTTTTGAAAATGGTCGGGGGAAATATCAATTTTGAAGGAAGATATGCTCCTTTCGTATGAAAAATTAAATTTTCTAATAGCTATGTGCCGGGGGTTAAGCTTTGATGTTATATAAGATTTAACATCGTCTACCGAAGTTTCACTAGAAAACCGCGAAACAAACACAGATTTATTCGCAGGAACTACGACTAATTCTTTGGGTAACGGAGAAGGTCCACTTTGAGAGGTAGGTTCAGACACAGCTGTCGTTTTTGCTGCAGCCCTTGTAGTGACATCTGAGGAAGATGCAGCTTGAGATAACTCAACACACGGAGAATTAAAACTTATTAATTCCTTATTTAAGCCGGGAGTAGGCAAAGAATCAATTGGCGGAGTGTCAATGTCTAAAGCATTCGGATTAGGAACAATGCTATCTCCTCCATGCTTCCGCTTTTTCGAAGCTTGTCTAAGCTTGGGTGATGGAGAGGATGAAGATTCAATGCACTTAAAGTTTTTAAAAGCATCTTCATATCGCTTAAACTTTTCGTTTAGAAGTTTCAACTCCTTACCCAACTCCTGGAAGCCACTTCTTGCGCTCCTAAACATTCTACAAAGGTCAACTTCGGTTGATCTGCACATGGGGCAAGACCAACGAACACCTTTACTATCGGTTATGATATCGTCCACCCTACCATTGAGACCAGCACATTTTACGTGAGCTAAGTCATCACACAACCAACACGCAACGCAACGTTCCAAGTCGTTTTTAATGTTACATTTTTTCGTTCGGTTATTTAAGAAAACCAGGGAACTTCGGACATAACACAACAATAGTTCGGTTATTTAAGCGGCAAACGACCACCAAACCATAGTCTTAGCCGTTGAAGTTGCCAGTACAAATCGTAAATGTGGATTGTCTGAGAAAATGTTGGATCAAAATGTTTAAATTAAAAATCTAATTTTGGGTAGGTCGAAGTTCGCCGGGTCTGCTAGTAAATAAATAAATAAATAAATAAAATAAATTTTAATTTTACCCATAGCGCACGATGTACTCACCGTCTCGACTTTAATCGATTTCGCCCCACAGCATCGATATTGTGTCAAAAATTAAAAAAAATCGATGTATCGATGTCAGAATCAATTTTTTGCATCTCTACCGCACAGCGGGGACGGCACAATGTTGACTAATACCTTGTTTATACCGATTCATAAAGAGCTTTGATCCAGTTCGCTGGGTTTTAAAACGGATGGATAAACCAAATTTCATACGCTCTGAATTTCAAAAGTGTATTGACTCGAATTTGATTTGAAATCGGTTTTTTACTTCTCACATCGGTTAGAAAACAGGTATAAACACATCACTCATTTGACGCGAAGTAAAAAAGACTGCTTTTCTTTATACAGCCCGTTTTAAATTTGAATTATTATTAAAGTAAATTTGAATTATTGCTCGCTTCCATTTCAGTCAGTCGCTCAAATCAGTTATTAAAGAAATATCGAAATAAAATAACAAATTTTGTATACTTTTGAATACGGTTTCACCGAGTGCGCTGTAAAGAAAAAAGTATGAACGTTTGAAAGAAATATGCGTTGAGTCAAATTGGTTTTTTTGTTAATGCGGTTCTTGCGTAGGTATAAACAAGGTATAATTGTCGATTGTAGTAATTTGTATCATTTTCACAAGTTTTCCATGTTTTCATCTATTTTTATTTCCAGAATACACCCACGTACTGAAAAATATTTAATTTTAATTATAATTTTCAAGTCAAAATGACAACTGACGGAAGCCGTCGTGCGCCGCAATTGTGTTTACTCTGACGGATTTCACTGGGGCGACTGTACAGCTGTTCACTTACCGCCGACCGCTTTACCGTCGTCCGCTGTAATTCTGGGTAGAACTTAATATTGAAAACTGCTTTTAGCTTTGTCAAAAATCTTTCGATAAAAGGAGCAAAATATTAAAATAAAATGCTTGGACATGATAAGAATTAGCGTCAGAAGCAGCTGAGAGATATGTATAGTGAATACCAATAATCACCAAAATGTACAATATTTTGAAAGAAATTAAAAATCAGACTGCTTTACTTTTCTGTGGAATCGAGCATATGTATTATATTGATCCATATATCTTATATTTGCAAACTAACAAAAGTTTTAATGCTTTTTGCAGCTACTTGTTAGCGGAGGGGTTGATTCAACTGTTTGTGCTGCTCTGTTACGTCATTCTTTACAGCCGAATCAAATTATTGCGGTCCACATCGATAATGGTAATTTATTCAGAAAAGGTAGGTATTTCAAAAACATTAAAATTTTTTTTTTATTAGGATTTATGCGTAAAGGAGAGAGTGGCAAGGTCGAAAAATCTCTACGGGACATTGGTATTGATCCGTTAGTAAAAAAGGAAGCATATCGATTCTTAAAAGGCACAACACAAATTAAGAGACCTGGACAGTTCTCAATTGTAGAAACGCCTATGTTATCTCAAACATTTAACCCTGAGGAGAAACGTAAAATTATCGGAGATATCTTTGTAAAAATTACGAACGATATTATCACCGAAATGAAATTAAAGCCAGAAGATGTATTACTTGCGCAAGGCACACTTCGACCCGATTTAATTGAATCTGCATCCAGTTTAGTAAGCCAAAATGCAGAGACTATCAAAACTCATCATAATGATACAGAATTAATAAGGTTTGTAATGTCAAAAATATATGAAATAACTTTAACAAATTTTTTAATTTTATTGTAAGACAATTGCGGTACTCTGGGCGCGTTGTAGAACCTTTAAGCGATTTTCATAAAGACGAAGTAAGAGACTTGGGAAGGGATTTAGGACTACCCGCTGACCTAATTGAAAGGCAACCATTTCCAGGACCGGGTTTAGCCATACGGATACTGTGTGCTGAAGAGCCTTTTATTGAAAAAGATTACTCAGAAACTCAGGCAAGTCCATTTTAAATCAATAGGATTTATGAAAGAACTTTTTTTTAATTGTAGGTTATAGCAAAAGTTATTACAGATTTTCATAGCAAACTACAAAAAAAGCATGCACTAATAAATCGCGTAATTGGATCCACTTCAGAATTAGAGCAAAAAGAACTAAAACGAATATCGTCAAGCACCAAAATCCAAGCTACAGTTTTACCAGTGCGTTCTGTTGGTGTGCAGGGTGAGTATTCAGCAACATGAATTTGTAAAAATGAAAATTTTGGGAAATCAAGTTTGAAAGTTTTTTTTACAAGACTTAACTGTATATTCACCCAGCCAGCAAAATCGTTGTAAGCGAGCTCGTAACTGGATATTTTCTCGAAGAAAAGCCGGCTTAAAAGTCGTTTATGATAGCCGTCTACGATTCGTTTACGAGTACTTTTTCGCTTGAAATTGTCGATCGCCTACGAACAGTCGTAAACGGATCGAAAAAGCATTCGTATGCGAATATTATATATTGTAAAATATTGTGGTTTAAGAAAAATTTCCAACAGAATGAAAATTTTTTCTTGTGCTGACAAATTACTACAAGCGTCGTTCTTTTACTTTTTTTTTGTTATATCGTTTACGAGCCTTTTTCTAACTTTTTGCCGATCGAGAATCCATCGAAAACATAATGTTCGTAAAATGTACGTTTTCTTGCTGGCTGGGCAGGTAATTGAAATTGTAAAATAGGCGTGTTTTTTTTACACGCATACGTATCTGCGCTTAAAATTTGTATGGAGCAGTAAGCGACAAACTTTATATGCGCTTATGAATAATTGTCGATAAAATCAAAATTACTTGTTTTCAAATGGAAATTGTCGATGCTTGTTTTTTTTCAAACGTTAAGCGTAGATGTATATGCGTAAAAAAAAAACACGGCTAATATGTGCTTTCCGTGTACACATGGTACTCTGGGTTTTGGTATAATATAGAACAAGCTTTCCCAAAGTGGGTGCCGCGGCACTCTGTGGTACCGCCACCGTATGCCTGAGGTGCCGCTAGTGGCTAGAGCATACTAGTGGTGCGGGCAAATTCTTTATACTTTCCATACACAACGCAAGCGGTTTGATCACACTTCAACATGGCGGTCAGAAAATCAAAAAATTTTGATTTTTATTTTAATTACCTTCAGCGGCAAAGGGATATTTCGCTTGGTTTGTCAAGCCGCTTGTGTGGTGTATTTCGCTCTTAAGCGTAGTTCCCCAGTACGTTTTGTCAACGAAAAACTCTATCAGAAAAATTTCAGAAAAATAGCCGAAACGTACCCTTTCACAACCATTTTCGGTACTTTTGTAGACCTAATCCGCGTTCATCCACTTTTCTTCTCATTTTCGGATTAATTTTCGAATTTTTTGCTGGCTGGGCTGTTCTCGCAACAAGCGCAGCAGCTTCGCTTGACGAAAGTACCGACGTAGTGAGACTTTTGGTTCGATTATCGATAGCAATCGAACTTCAGTTGCGTTGCTAGTTGCCAAAACGATATTACGGATCGCAACTGGCAACTTTCAACTGACAACTGCAGTTGCTACAAAGCAGTGTTGGAAAATTCAAGTACAAGTACCAGTACAATTAAATTACCCGGTAATTAAAAAAAATAAATACCAAGTATAATTACTTTTTATTCGTAATTGGTAATGAATACCCATTTTTTTAATTCTTCTGCAATTACTTTCAATTACTTTTAATTGAAATTGATTTTTAAATAATCACTACAAATATTTTGTAAATAGTACGATAATCAACAAACTCAAACAAAAATTCTTTCACCTTTATACATATGTTCATAAATAAACTTAAACTACAAAATATTAATTTTTTTTTTTTTATACTTAACACACAGTCACATAATTATACCCCTTCTGTTGAAAAACAATCAAAACGAATTCAAAAACTCACGCAAAAGCTACCTAGCAAGGCAGGATAAACAAAAAACATAGATTAATCACTGAAATGAAGAGTTTGCTTTTATTAAAACTAGGTTTTCAAATGAAAAATCGGTTAGCCGTTGTCTTCTTGCGTTGTTAACGATATTAGCTATCGAAAACATCCTCTCGACTGGAGCTGATGATGACAGTGGAGTGTTCATTTGCAATGATACATCACGGAGTAAAGGATATTATTCCAAACTTATAAAAGACGTACTTCGATCGTGCAAGTATTGACAAAATTGTTCAGCGACCACATCTGAAAGCGTTGGAGAAATTGACGGTGACGAACTTATAGCAGCAGGTTGGCTTGATTCTACGCCTATGTCATCTGAAATTTTTTCAATAATGTACTGTATAAGAATTACTAAGTTATATTTACCAATATCGGCGAAATCAAAAAAGTCATCTTCTCTACCTTGGCTGGGAATAACGGCGTCAATCGGTTGATTGTTGGAAATCCTCTGCAGAACAAGTAGACGATTCCATTTTTTGCAGCGCAGTGAACCACCTCGCTTTTATCTCCGGGCACAAAATCGATGCTAAAATTGCATCATTCGCGCAATCATCCAGAGAAAAGTAGCTCTTAAAACGAGTTCTCAAGCATTGCTCTAACCCCACTGCTATAAACTTACCAACGATGGGATAAGACAACCGTATACCAAATTTTCCTCTCTCTGTAGGTAATCAAGTGTGGCCGCGATTGGTGTCATTAAATATTTGTATTCTTCTAAATAATTAATTTCACTTGGTAAAAGTTTGTCCTGTTGCTGTATTCCAAGTCTGTCCCATAAATTCTCAAGCTTTTCTTTATGTAACAAAAGCCGAAAAATAGCATCATACGTTGAATTCCATCTAGTTACCACGGGTCATTTGAAAGAACACCGTAAGTTTATCTTTGACGGCCAAACATAAAAGCAAAGAGAAAAATGCTGTAGTTCGGGAGAAATATGTACATAAGTATATTATTTCATCGACATTTAAGATGTTTCTTTTCTCAACAATTGAATGATTTCTTTTAAATAAAATGTGTTGCTCTGACGGAAAGAAATGTTTTGTAGGCAAACATATGTAGCTGTGAAAGACGGAATTACGTTGTTCTTTCAAATGACCATGTATGTCAGATATGTATGGATTTCGCTACTTTAAGCATTAAGTATTCATTACCAATTACAAATAAAAAGTATTTGTACTTGGTAATTATTATTTTTAATTACTGGGTAATTGTATTTAGGTGGCATTTAAGTACAAATGTAATGAATATTTTCCAACTCTGCTACAAAGTGAATATACTGGCAACTACATTTTTGTGGTTGCTGGGAATGTTTTTGGAGAGTATTTAGGAGCGAAAATTGAAGTGTGTCACATATTTTACTTTTTAATAATTTGAACCAAGGCGAATTTATATAAGGTGGTGTTACTAGATCAGCTGATTTTGTGTATGTATTTCGCCTCACGGCTTTTAATGTCAAATTGAAAATTTTGTTTGAATTTCCACACACACACCTACAGATTTTGACAGTTTGTGCCGCCAAAGCAAAAACAAAATACATGTTTTTGTCCTGCTATCACCTTATATTAATTCGCCTTGATTTGAACGATATTAACATTTTGCAATGCAGTTTGCTTTTACAGAATATTTTGAAAATCACAAAACAATAACTTGAAATTTTAGTTCCCGTGGAGTACGCCCTTTGGCGAAACAAAAGCGTACACTGATTGCAAATTGTTTCCTTTATCAACTGAAGCAACTCTTTTGAAACTACCGACACACTAAGTTTTCCAAATTGAAGCCATTGCTGTGGCACTTCCTTCTGCGAAAAATCGAAGAGGTGCGCAAGCTTTTATGAGCGGAGGTATATATATATTGCCAAAGGCTATTATATTCACCTCTTTGTTTATAGAGGAACAATTTCTAACTATATTTGTAGTATATTTATTAAAAATAATTTAACATCATGAAATGCGGACCAATTTAATTTTTTTATTAATAAATCAATAAAGTTTAAATTGATTATACACATGTAAAAAATAGTATGTGCTAATTCATACTGGTGAACAATAAGATGTTAACGATCTTGCTTGCGCATGTGTTCGTAAATAAGAGAGCCGAGCGCTGCTACTAGGCTCAGTCGGTAGAAAACCGTCATATAAAAAGGTTGTTTTGCGCATGATTGTCCTTTTTTCCAAGCAAATTTCTAACGAAAAATTATCTCTATGAAAATTTGCGACCAACTGAACGCTGACAATTCAAAAGTGAATTACAAAACAGCTAATATGCGCCCAAGCAAATCGGTACTCACCACCAGTGTTGCCATTTCTGTTTCTGCCATCCCGCCAGATTAATAAACGCTGGAATCCTGCTAAATCATTTAAATTCTGTGAACTCTTATTAAAAAAAAAGTTTCTTTTATAATTTAGCAGTTAAACTTTATTTGATAAAATTAGAGATCATATGTTTATAAAAAACCATCAGTTTTTTAACAAAAACAAAATTGGAACTTCGTTATATGGTTTTATAAACAGTGTTCGGATTTTGTGGCATTAAATATAGTATAAAAATTGGTCATAAGAATGTCGTCTTCGTTTGTTCTACTACTTCTAGTAGCGTTTGTACTAGCTTTGTTTAAAGACTTTGTTCTTGTCTAGCATAGAAAAAGGAATTAAAAAAATACAACTGTGACTTCTGTATTTTCGGTGCGTATTAACGGTATAACATACTATGTATTTTTTTAAGTTTTTACTTTCGGACTTATAATTTTATGAGACTGTAAATACACCAATTAGTTTTAAAATTTTTGCGTTGCATTTAAAATCGCTTTGAGTTTATAATTATTTGCAGCAGTATATATGTATCGTTAAAAATTAAAATCTTTAAATCATCAAAAATATATAGATATGCATACATGCAGCTTTTTTCATGTTAGCTGAGCAGAAGATACCTAAACATATTCGACAACTATATAATACTATTAGAAAACCTTTCCCGCCATGTTCAGTGCTTATTTAGTGCATTTTATTCTGGATTCGAAAATCTTTTTATACACATAAGTATGTACATACATACAAAATGCATTGTTTCAAATAAAATATATATCTTGATCGAATTAAAGTGAAAATTCAATTGGTTCTATAAAAGTTCAAAGTCGTTATTAGTTACTATTTATTTTAATTTTTGATAAATACAACAATACTTATATCTTGGACCGATCACTAATGTAGTATAGATGCATATTAAATTTTACTGAAAAAAAATTTTTGATGTTTAGAT